GTACAGTACATATTTGTACAAATCAATCAGAACCGAATCGTATGACTCTACAGGATTTGGAAATATTAGTGAGCCAACTAGCGGTGTGTGACGACGCAACCGGCAAAATGATGTCCAGAACCTTTAGGTGAGTCTGCTAAATTTTAATATTCGTAGTAAGTCAAAATCTTTATTATACTACAATAGGGCTGTTCAGGATGTTGTGGAAATGGTCTTGGATTTGCAGTTGGATTTGCATTTGCAAATTTTATGCTTTCTGCCATGGCAACAGTGTGCATTTTATTGTTGTGAATTTACAAATGCAACGCATAAAGCAAATCCAAGAGCATATGCACAAGATTCTGAACAGCCCTAATACATATACTATTTTATGAGTGGAAAAATTCTTGCGCCACATTGACTAGGCACCTGCAGAGCACAGGTAAATTGGCTATCGCTTGAAGCTACATACATACATAAGTATGTATATACATTAGGGTAGTCCAAAAACAGTTAAGTCAGTAAACAGTAATTGTAATGCTCTCACCCCCTAGGTTGTTCTATATCGAAAAAGTATAACCCTATTTTTTATTTTGAAATCAAAAAATATTTAGAGGTCGCTCAAAGCGCTCAAAGTTTTCCATGTATTTTTATATGGGAAAAATAAAATTTTTCGTAGAAATGGTATAGAATTCTTGAAAATCAATATTTTTCGATCGGAAAACTTCAATAATAATACCCAATTGTTCATTTAACCATTTTTTAATACTAACGATTTTTCAGTGGTCGCGCCATTGCATTTTTCGGGGTTTTTGTAGGTTTCTGGCGGACCTATAAATTATAGTTGCGATGAAAAAATGGTTAAATAAACATTTGGGTATTATTATTGGGAATCTTCTGCATATAAGCAGAGTTTTCTGGTTGAAAAATATTGATTTTTAACTATTCTATACCATTTCTACGAAAAGTTGTTTTCCCCCCATATAAAATACATGGAAAACTTTGGGCGCTTTGAGCGACCTCTAAATATTTTTTGATTTAAAAATAAAAAAATAAGGGTATACTTTTTTCGGTTAAAAAGATTATTAAATATTTTTATGCAGATTTTTTAAGCTTAAATTATGTTGTCATCTGAGCGGATTTTTTTTCCAAAATATTCTTTAAGAAACTATTTTTATCACAAAAAAACTTAATTTTTGGAGGTATTTTCAAATCGGTCCAGCTAACGTAAATCTTAATATTTATCCGAAATATTTTGGTAGACTTCTTCAAATATAATACATTTTGTAATCCCGGCAGAAAAACCGAAACTTTTTTTGGTTATGCAGTCTAATGTAGTACATACCTACATACATGTAGCTTGTATTGAACTTTAGTTGTATGAAAAACATTTTTCAAGGATAAGTAAAATATGCGTTTTTTCAGGGACGGAAAATAATCATTGTTTTTTAAATTTTAACCAAAAAAAAAAAACAAACAAGTTATAAACGTCGTAACACACGTTTAACTACACTCACGTATTTGTGCTCATANTATTATTGAGCTATATTTTTTCAATTAAGAATAATGATCATTCAAAAAACTTCCGACGCATCCTTTTTAAAGGTAGCGACACCCTAATAAAATTTCAGTAGATTGGACTCTATGGCCTTTTCTATTTTACAATAATCATTATTTTTAAGTGCAAAAATAAAAATCATAAAATAATCATTATTTGTGATCGAAAAAATAAAATCAAATAACAATTATTTGCATTGATCGAAAAAATAAAACTCAATAAGAATTATTGTTTTTAAGCAAAAAATAATAAAATTCACCAAATAATGATTAAAAGCTGATTTAAATTATTTTACTCATAATGATTACCGTCCGTGTTTTTTTTTATTTTAACACGTAAGAAAATGTGAAAATTATCAATTCTGCGACCTCTGGCGGATGTTTTAGGAAAAGGATAAGTAACAAGTAATTTTTACCAAAAAATAAACCGACTTAAAAAGAAAATATATATATCTATATATTTCATTATCCAATGATCGGATCTAAACCAAATTAGTATGGGACCACCTCTGAGACACTACCTTTCCGTTGCAAAAAGAATTATTGAAATCGGTTGGTGCAAAGTTATGCGGTAACATACATAAAAAAAAAAATAAAAAAAAATAAAATATTCCGACGAACTGATAACCTCCTCCTTTTTTGGAAGTCGGTTAAAAATAGATTCTTCATACCAAAAACCTCTTATAGCATGCTTTTATACAAAATTTAGGCACTTCAGCAAAATGATAAGTAAAAGAGACCTATTTTCGCAATTTGGCAAACTCCAAATTAATTTTAGACCAAAGGTTTCTTCGGCAAATTTGTTTAGAATTACACTTAGCATCTTGATATGCTATACGCCTATAGTCGAAAAAAAATTTACCCGCCCTAACATACATACATACATGTCTACGTAGTTATTTTACCGCTTTGTTTTAAGTATTATTCATAGTTTTGAAATATATTTCGCGAAAGAAAAAAGGGTTAAGTAAGGTATATACATACATACATATGTATATACATATGTTTGTACATACATACATACTTACTTACTTACATATATACTTGCCTTTGTGACGTAGAAATCGCGTGTTTTTCATAGCTAAAGTCCAAAGTCCATTGGCGAGCCACTTAGATAAGCCTTTTATAAAGAATTCTTTATTCATTTAGTGTGCACAACATTAAATTCTTTTGTAGCTTACTCATTCTAAAGTTACCAAAGATACTTTCGATGATAAAGTGTAATATTAAATTTACCGAAATGGCTGTTATCAGTATATCAAGCAGCGAATCAATCAGTAAAAAGGGGAAATACAGACTTTTCTCCATCAATTGTGAAAAGAAAAACATATTTAGAAGAAAATTTTAGCAACTGTCTTTCAACTCACCATGATCTTTCGAAATATAAGGAAATCTTTCCTAAGACAATTATCAATTCTGGCAACTACCTTGAAAGCTCTTTTCTGTCTTTCGAGAGACTGATTGAAAATATTGCTAAAGAGGGGGTCTTAGCGTTATTCTCATTACCTTTTTGCAATAAGTTTTATAAAAAAAAATTTACAAAAAAATATTTTTCTTTTCAAAATAATAAAAACTTACGATTAAAAGAAAATTACATTTAAACAAATAATAAATTTTAAACAAAGAAAAAATAAATAACTAAAAGTTTCTAAAAATTACACTGAATTTTATAAAAAAAATTTTTTACAAATAAAATCTAAAATTTAAAGGAAAATTAAAGAAAGAAAGAATAAAAAAATTAAAAAAGAAAAAATAAAGCAAGTTTCCCAAAATTAAATTAAATAAAAAAATACGTTAATTTTTAAAACAATAAAATCTAAAAGGTAAAAGAAAAAATAAAATAAGTTTCTAAAAATTAAATTAAATTTAAAACATATTTTTCTCATTAAAACAATAAAAAAATATTATTAAAAAAGAAAAAATAACAAAATTTTCTAAAAACTAAATGAAATAAAAAATATATATTTTGCTTTATAAAATAGTAAAAATTAAGAAATCAAATTCTAAAAGAAAAAAATTAATCGAAATAGGAAAAAATATATAAAATTTAATTGAAAAAAAATTATTAAAAAATAACATGAGTTTGTAAAAATTTAATGAAATTTAAAAAAATGTCTCTCCAAATCCTTAAAAACTAAAACTTAGAGGAAAATTAAATTAAAACAGAAAAAATTGGTTATAAATCTAAAACCTAAGTGAAATTTATAAAATATTAATTTTTCTTGTTAAACCAACAAAATCTAAAAATGAAAAGAAAATTAAATTAAAAAAGTAAATAAAAAAATACGCTGCACGAGGAATCGAGCCTCGGATCTCTGCAATGGCACGCAAGTGCTTTGCCAACTCGGCAATGGCGATTGTGTTCGAGCAGCGCGAGCAAAATGTTATACAAATTGTTCAGCTGCGGTCAGTAAGATAGTAGCAAAATTCAAATGATTAATTTTCATTTAAAAGATAGTTCGAAAGCATGCACAAAGTTCACAAAAATTAATCAAACTAAAAAAAATATTCATCAAAATTTCAAAATTTAGAGTATGCAGTTTTGTAGCCCATTCAATTTTAGTGTAATATAGTGCATGATTCAATTCACTAAAAATTAGAAAGTTTTTTCCCGAGTGTGTTGCGTATTTTCTTTCATATAACGTACGTAAGTAGTTTGGACGTAGTTAGAGGGAGGTCCAGCTTAAGATCTTAAATAAGTTATTTACAACTTTCGGCGAAAAATTCGATCAGGTATTTTGGTATACCTGACTAATTCGATGACAAAACCTCTAAGCAAGTGTGAAATCTGCTTTCTCACACTGTACTTTCGTAGAAACTGCACTTAATCGTTATTTATGTACATACCTGTCTGTCTCTTGTTTGTTCCCTTTCTTCATATTTTTTTAACAGGAAACACCTAAACAAACACAAGTTGCTTCTTCTTCTTCAACTATTTCTTGCTGCATATAAACGGCGAGAGGTCAAAGTTCCAGCAGTGATAGTATTTTTTTTTATTTTCTTGTTAAACTCAATGTACGGTGAATGAGTTTCAAGGGGAACCAAATGTCTTGCAACATGCATACATATGCACATATGTACATTAGGGTGGTCCAGAAAAAAGTTAAAGTTGGAATTTTTATGCTCTCACTACCCAGGATTTGTCTATACCGAAAGAAATATGCCGCTGTTTTTTTATTTTGAAATCAAAAATGTATTTTATAAGGAAAAAAATAATTTTTCGTTGTAATAGTAGAGTTTTTTTAAATCCATATTTTTCGATGGACAAACTCTCTTTCATTGCAGGAGACTTCCAATAATACTACCTAATTGCTTATTTTACCACCTTTTACCACTACCACTACTATTTTTATGGGTCCTCCATTTTTTTTTTAGTTTTTGGAGGACCTATAAAAAATGGTTAAATAAATATTGGGTATTTCTACAGGAAGTCTCCTGAGGAAAAACAAAGTTTTCCGATCGATACTGATTTTCAAAAATTCTACAGCATTTCTGCTAGAAATTGTTTTTTTCCCCATAACGATAAAATAAATGGAAAATTTTTAGCGCTTTGAGCGATCTCAAAATATTTTTTGATTGCAAACTAATAAAACAAGCGGGCCTATATCTTTTTCGGAATAGAACAATCCTAGGGGGTGGGAGCATTAAAATTTCTACTTTACTTTTTTTTTACCACCCTAATGTACATACTTTTGTATAAATACATGTGTACATATCCATGCACATAAATACTCAAAAGCAATAATATTATGAATTTCTTCACGCGAATATGCGCCTAAAAATCTTATCAGCTGTTTAAGTTCTTATTCTTTGTATTATTGTTTTATGAGCTCCACACAATCTCCATGCGCTTAGCTACAGGAAATATTACGAAAACATAACATAATTGCATACATTTTTCGCAATTTATTTATTTCATTTACGTATGACTTTTTTTATGTACTTAAATATATGTATATGCAAGTAATGTATTTTTTTTCTGTCAATCGCTTTTTTTTTTTTTTTTTTTGCAGATACGTCAAACTGATCTACATAGTGGCGGGTATTTTGATGAGCAACGAAAAAGTTTGCGAATCCGTCGACAAAATGCAAATCACACCGCGTGTCGAAGTCAAGCAGATACTTCAGCCAAAGAAAGTCTACAAGGGAGTTGAGAAAGCATCGAGGAATTGGTTTCGCAGCTCCTATTGCTTCATAGTGAGTCGAATTAAGCAGCGTGCAGCGCCATTGTTGAGCATCTTCAACATTTGGACCATACCCAATTATTTGGTGGACTGCACAACGAATTTCATTAGCAAACAATTCATCGGCAGCGATTGTGATATGATTTATAATAGATAAATTTTATCAAAATCAATTGAATAATATTTAATTAATGTATGTAAAAGGGAGATTAGGCGCTTAACGCCTAGGTATTATACCTTCTTAATTGCATAGAGGGTATACTTATATTTGAACATAGTAATTTAATTTATAAATATAATTTTAAGTTAGAATCGGTAAGATGCAATTTGCTACTTTCTCTCATAGTTTTAAGATTTTTCAATTCAACATTGACACCAATTCAATTTGAGACATTTATTAATACATATAAATATGTATGCGTAAGTCGAGTACTTAGTTGCAAGTACATACATATGTATTTAGTTTATTTTTATTATTGCGAAATGTTTACATAAAGACGGAAATTTTTATTAAATAAATTTTNCGAGTACTTAGTTGCAAGTACATACATATGTATTTAGTTTATTTTTATTTTATTGCGAAATGTTTACATAAAGACGGAAATTTTTATTAAATAAATTTTTGCTATACATACATACATACATCCATTTATTGAGTGATTTATTTTATGTATTTGCAAATAACATTTCTTTACTTATATTTATTTTTTGTTGCTTACACGCGCATAACTTTTCCATTTTTCTTTTTTCTTTAACAATTTATCCCTATTTCAACAATTTTAAGAATTCCACCGCTGCACATCCTCTATTCGCCCAACGAATGCTGCGAATTATCAGAATTATCTGGACTTACATTGGAGCTGCACGGTGATCTATCGCCTCGCACATGTAGCGTTGTCTGCAACATACTTGTTATGGTGTCCACGTCTAACTGTTCATCGGTGGTCGAAATTTTGCGCATAGCTTGGCAAACCAAACTCAAGTCGCCCTTTAGTTCGCTCACAAAAGCGGTGATCTTCTGCGCATTCGAGAGCACCTCCACCTCCTGCGTATAAGGATTGTAGCGCACGCCGAACGGACGTTGTATGCTGTCGGCGAAATTTCTGAAATATATATAAGCATTTAAAAGATAATACAGCAGTTCTATGAAAGATTTAAAGCTATAAGAGTGGCGCGTAGTTTTAGTACCACGAAAATTTCGCAAAGTCACGGATTTTTAAAAAAAAAAGTATATAATTGTGAAGTCGTGGTGTGCGACTTTCATTCGCGCGACATGCCAAAGCGTGTTCAATAGCGCTGCGATTTGCACCCCCTAGTACAAGAGGTCTCCCCGTGGCGACACCTGTCCAAGCCCTGGCGGCTAATTCTAGTGGCGGTCCCTCCTTAATCCCCACACCTGTGTTTTACTTCAGTTCGAAATACCTACAAGCTTTCCACTTACTACTTTTTGCAGGGCTGGATCAATGTGTCTTACGACCGGTGCTGGGAATCCTAAAAAAAATCCCGCCGCGAACGGAGTGTTCCGAATACCGGCGACCTTTGTAGCTAACAAGCCTTACCTGGGTACTGCGGATCTCTGCCCTCTCGGACGATCCACTTTCTGCGCGTCTCGTGGGACCAGATTATGGAAAACAAATTAAAAATCTCGACAGCAGTACGGGAGTCCGGCACTCCAAAATAGAGGCCACGGCACCACCGGGTCTAACTCAAAGCAGCGCTGTTCGCAGGCATACAACAGATACATCCCCACACCCATCAGCACTTGGACTAAGTTACCCCCCCTGGCCCCAGAAGTCCAAAGGAAAATGTCACGCATAAAAGTAGCATTGGGCGGAAGGCCTGCACAGCAAGTATAGAAACTCGCCACTCAGCAAACAGCGTCTGATCAGCCAGTTGTGGGTGGATCCAAGAACTCGGTGGCTCGCAATAGGGCCAAGGACTTCGTCGGAACGGACACAACGAAGGCCACGTACCGCTTCACGAATTCCCCGTTGTCAGGCCCCCTCACCGATCAGGGAGAATCAGGTATGAAAGTAGCACCACGCGAAAGCGTGCTCTTGGCACATAGCGAGGGCAAGAAATATTATCCCGAAATTCGACCTAAACTAAATTAGTATGGCAGGAGCCGCAAAACGTCAAATATCTGTGGAGGAACCCTCGGCACTGGGGCGACGATCCTGGGTACCTGTAATGCCGTCCAAAACAGCATAAATTTTCAAAATGCTGTATGAATTCAATCCCAGCATTCCTACACAAAACTAGAGGGTTGTGAACACAAAGCTAACAGAACGGGCGAGAATGCAGGTAGTCCTCCTCTTGATTAACGAAAACCTGGAGGCGCTAGGAAATGGTGAGTGCCAGGTGAACTATGACTTCGGGAAGATTACGCTTCAAGTTTACAAAACTTTTAAACTTGGCTGTCTGTGTGGAGGCGGACGAGGCACCAATCGATCATGAGATGGAGGTTGAACGAGAATTATCTTTTCGACTCTCTACCCACTACAATGGACATCAGGACATCATCTAGACTCATGCGAAGGTAAGACAAAGTCCCTCACTGAATGCCACAGATCTCTAAACGAGATGGGGCAGCATTATAGAATAAAACTCATATGGGTACCTGGATGTCGAGATATTGACGGCAACTGCAAAGCTGAGGAATTGGAACGAGGAACGGTCCTTCCGGAGAAGGTAGGTATAACCAATGGCCACATTCAAACTACATGTTAGGAACAGTCCGAGTACAACATCAAATTGTTATAAATATTTGAACCATAATTATTTTTCTTAGCAATCCTTTAATAAACAGTAAAAAAATGGGTGTCCCTATCGTTAGTTTTGAAAGTACATATTCTTATCTTTTCCATGACTGCAAAATATTCGTAGTACTCCTAACGTGGCCTAAATACTACTTATAAATAGTTATACCTCATTTGCTCCTTGGCCTCCTCGAATGAATCGGTGTAGTAGTAAGCATTTTGATAGGATGTTATAATACATTCTTCTTGACAAGTTATATCCGGATCGAATTTTTTTATTTTATCCGCAGCGGTTATAGCATGTTGTAGTTCGGCTACAGAGCTTAAAAGACCAGCGCCGTATACCTTGAATGTATTATCCTGTTGCTTGCACAGCCCAAATTCAACCGTGAAAAAATATAACTGGACGAAAAAGTTCACAACATATGTAGAATATTAGCAAAGAAATAATTTAGAAATTTATTAAATTAACATAGAACTTATAAAAAAAAGTGGTAAGCAAAGATCTTGACTATGAGAATTTAAAAACAATAAAAGACATATTTACTGCTTTATTAAACCATAAAAGAGCCTTTTAGGCAGCGAAAATAACCTTTCAAATAAGTTCGTTTTCGGCCAAGGATAGGCTCCCGGTTTTAAGGTTTTCGAAGGTATTCTCAGTTTATTTAAGTGCTATCGCAAATCTAGAGTTCACACCAGGGGTCCACTCTGTATTGCGATTCAAGACTCAATGCGATTCGAAAGGCGAGACGGACTAATACAAATTCATAGTGCCAAGTATTCGAATCCGAACGATTTGCTTTCAAATTACAATACAGAATAGATCCCCAGTGTTGCCTTTTATGGTGCAAGGCCAGCTGTATGTTATCGATATAGGGAACTGAAGAGGACAGAAAGAGTTCGAAATACATGAGAGCGAAGAACTTGAAATGCTGTTAGGCAGCTTACAGAGGATCTCAAGACCAAAGCGATATTCCTGTGAGCACAACCACGGTGACCTTGGGACCGATATCCAGAACATACTTAAAGTATAGGGAGAACAATCTTCCACCCTATTGAATGCAAACAGCACTGAAAGTAGTGGAAAATATGAGCCCGAGCCCCTACTCGATGATGACATTGCCGCCTAACTATGACAAGGTGCGAATAGAAGTTTCACGGCTGAAAAGTAACAAAGCTGATGCAGCTGACGGCCTGCCAACCGAGCTATTCAAGTACGGCAGCGCGAGAAGTCAGATGAACGCATGCCCGACGACTGTAATTTAAGTATGCTCTGCCAATGCATAAAAACCGCAGGATCAGCCTTATAAGTATCGGCTATAAGGCCTTATCGAGGGTATTTTTTTTTTAAGGCTAAAGTCGCACGAAAGTGAATCGTCTTGTCTGAAAGTTCGTATGGTTTCGATCGCTCGGTGAGTTACATCCAAATATGGACTTCAATATAAATCGGCTCCAAGGGCTTTGTAGTTTGTAAGCCATTTGATTGCTGCTGATAGAATTTTCGCGCTGCATTTATATCTGGCAGCATCTTAAGCTCTTCGCACTCACGTCATTCTGCCTTCCCCAAAATTTGTCTTTCTTCCCTCCAGATACCAGTCGACAGCTATTTCTACGTGGCTGGTAATAAGCATAGCGGTGTGAAGTGATTGAGAGATGGAATCCCACTGCAGGATTATGAGCCGATTGTCTGTTGTGACTGCGGCAACTCGATGTCAATCTTTCGGCGCGATGATTGACGCACGTTCTTTATTGCACCGAGATGCATTCGCACCTCCACCGCAAGAAGATAATGGTCCGATTTGATGCTGTGGCTCCTCGCATGGAACGGGCATCAAACACGCTTGAGGCGTATCTTCCGTCCATAACAAAATGAGCAATTGGATTGTTGTTTGCTTGTTCAGCGAACCCCCAAGTGGCTTTTGGGGGTTTCGATGATGATATCTGGTACCAGCAAGATGCATTCTGCTCTAAATTAACCCAATGGAGTCCACTGTCACCCAATTTATCAAAAAAGGAAGGCCAATTTGACCAAAACCCAATTGAGTGAAACAGAGATTGAGTTCTCACAAGAGGCAAAATATCTTGGGTGATACTAGACAAAAGACTGAATTGGAACTAAGATCTCACAGCGGTTACCAATAAAGCCAATAAAGCATTTAACTCTGGTCAAAGGTTCCATTGTAAAACTTAAGGAATATCCTCGACACTAACGTACTGGCCATTCAATACGGTAATAAAACCGAATGTCACTTATGCAGCACTAGTTTAGTGACCAAAAACCAAGCAAGCAAGCACCAGCGTCACAGGCGTACCGTCTCTAGCTACACTTATAGAAAAAGAGGCCTGTTGGATCGCCCTGAGACTGCCAAACTTAAGTAGCTGGCACAGTGGGGATGCCATTTGGGTGTCTTAAAACCCGTAGCCAAACTTACAGCCTCAATGCTACCGAAATTGACTTGCATAAAGCCTAAAGATAATATTTTCTGTAAAAAGCTAATCGCAATGTTCAGCGCCGCATTTCAAGTTTGATACACTGATGGATCCAAACCTGAGGATAGGAACACTGAGCTGGCCGAGATTTCCAGATGGAAACTTTTGCAATTGAAGTATGTGTCCAAGGAATATCTTTGCAGAAGGACTAATGCGGCATGGTGAAATTATAGAAAGGTGAGAAAAAGCTTTCTCACTTTACGCGTTACCATGGCAATGAAAGGGCTGACACTCTAACAAAATGCAGTGCCCAACGGAGCCTGATTGTCCCACAGTCTTTCCTTTCCCTTAGAGAGGATACACGGCAGAGCTCTTGAGGAGATAGCAGGACTCGTGAATTCAACCTCAATAGCACACGACAAAGGCCAAAAGGCAATCCAAGATATTCATTACTCCCTCTCGTGGAATCTCTCAGCGACTGCTAAATCTTAGCAGAGATGGTTTAAGAACTCACACTGGGTAACTGACAGGATACTGCAGGCTGAGGTGCCATCTATAAAAAATTAGACTTACTGGTTTTAGAAAAAATCCACCGTTCCCAAAAATGGCTCTAATTTTAATCCTGTTATATTTAAACGCGACTATCTTCACAGCAAACGTGGGCATTTAGTTAGAAATAATATAAGAAAAACAGATTTCAGGACATAGGGATTTTTAAGGCCAAATATCGTTTTGATATTTTTGCTGATTATTTAAATTGCAACACCGAAAACAAACTTGAAGCACTAAAAATTACTTCCTAAGTTATTTTTAAGCCAAAATTAGTGAACAAAATTGTGGTTAAATTTAGTTAAACAAAAAACAAACCGTTGCTAATTTTTCAATATCTGCATCCTCAGCACCCAATGAGGCCAAACCGATTTCCTGTGAGAATTGAGCAAAACTGGCATTAGCTAGCAGAGGCATATGACCCAAAAGCTCGTGACAGCAGTCACTAAAAAACAAAAACAGGAAAAATTTCCCATACCTAAGTTTATTAGATATTCCAAGCTTGCACAACTCACGGTTCCGGTGTGTAAAACGGATCTGAAGAATGTCTTATATATTGTGTACAATGGAATACACGAAAAGCCAAACCAGACAAAAAGTCACGTGGTGATAAATACCCAGCTACTGGACGTAGTTGAAAGCCCGTCTTGCGTTTCAAATAGTTGCTAACATCCTCCAATTGCGGCAGATTGTCCTCACGGTA